CCGTCATCTTTTCCAGCTATTTGGCCCATGCAATACCTGCACTACATCTTGTCAATCTCAAAATCCATTTGGATCCAAGTTCTATCCGTTGGCCCAGTTTAACATACACTCTGTCGCCTACCACAAACACACATTCCTTGGTTTTCATGTCGTAGCTTTGCTTCATCACAGACTGGCGTTTACCGACCGGTCGATGCAGATTGGGATTAATCGGATCCAACCGAGTGCGCAGACGTCCCACCGGAAGTTCACACGGCGGATGATCCATGATAGTGTGTGACGTAATGCAATCTTGTAATAGGCATTTGTCCAGGCGGGCTTGTAAAGTTCCGGACTGTTGTTTGGTCAAACCCACTTTGATTGTCGCAACTGCTCTCTAGGCACCATATGGTGCCTAGAGAATATGATCGATTCCATTTTGATGTAAGAACTGTGAAAACTCCTCGCTGGTAAATATCAGGCTGTTATCTGAAACAACCGTAAAAGGTACACAATGTGCAGTGATTATATTCCTTAAGATGTGCACAGTGGTCGATCCAGTCATGGCTGTGGTTGCCATAGCTCCAATCTATTTGGAATGGACATCCACTACAACCAGCACCTTGAAGCTCTCCATGGATTCACAGAAGTCATTGTGTATTCTGTCTCAAGGGCGCAAGGTCCATTACTATGGAGACATCGGCACTGTTTGTGGGGATGATTTATTTTCTTAACAGCTAGTACACAATTGTACGAGTTGTTCTATGTTGATCGACTTCCGGCCAACAGTTTTAGTTACGTGTTGATGTCTTCATCTTTGAATTTCTTTGGTGACCCATATGAACTTCCCGCAGGATAGTTTGACGATACCGTTTGGGGACGATGACTAGAGAGCCCCAAATTATGCAACCGTCTTCGATGCTTGATTCATCTCTTGGAGTGCGAAATGCTCTTAGGATTTAATCTACCCGGTCCAGTTAACCAGTTAGCATATAATCATGCACCTTCGACGGTTACGGGTCACACATTGCTTCCAATTTTATTTCCGTTGCTCTCACCGGCGAATCATCCAACCGAGATATTACTTCTACTAATTCTCTCAAAGCTGGCGTGTGACTCGGAGCCTTCCGTAATGGAGGTCGGTTGAGAGCATGGGTACAATAACTCACCTTCCCGGGGAGGTATTTTAGTTGAGATTCATATTCAATGAGTAGCAGCGCCCAGTGAAACATCCAGGGTGATGCCATTTGGGGTATCGCTTTCATTCACACAGGATTCTCAGTAATGGCTTGTGGTTTGTGTGTATTTCAAATCTCCGTCCGTATTGGTGAAATCGCACAACCCTAAAAACGATCGCCAAACCCTCCTTGTCAATTTGGGCGTAATTTCGTTCGATCTGTGATAGGGTCCGAGAAGCAAATGCAACTAATTTGTTTACTCCGTTCGCGTCAATTTGTAACAGGGCGGCTCCGACTCCGGAAGGTGATGCATCACATATCAACGTCATGTACTTTTCGGGGTCATAGTGGGCCAAAACCAGTGGACTGGCAAATGCACTTTTGCTAGACGGAAAGCCAATTCCTCCACCTCAGACAACAACCACTGAGTGCGTTTACATAAAAATGATGTAACGGGTGTAACACTGGCTGATTGCAGAACAAACCTTGAGTAATGATTGTACATTCCCAAGAAAGACATCAACTCGTGTTGATTTCCTGGTTGTGCTGCCTCAAGTATAGGCTGAATTTTCGCCTCACTCGTCTTCAGTCCCTCAGCACTCATACGGAAAACCAAATAATTCACGTGAGGAGCCAAGCATACTCATGTTTCACGTTTCAGCCTCAAACTATTCTCCTTCAGGAGGTCCAGAACAACGCGCAGAGTTTGTAGACGTTCGTCAATTGTCGCCCCCGTAACCAAAATATCGTCTAGGTATACAAAAGCTTTAGGCAACCATGTTATTATGTTCTCTATTGTTCGTTAGAAACTGGTTGAAGCCAAATGTAGCCAAATGCTAGTCTGTTGTACCTGAACAAACCGCGATGCGTACTGAACGTCCTTATTCTTTTGGCGTCTTCGTGTAGTTCGAGCTGCTGATAAGTATGCGCGAGATCCAATGTTGAGAAATACCTGCTGGTACCGAGCTGCGCATAAACGTCCTCAATTTCAGGGATCAAGTATTTATCAGTCGGAATAATGCAATTGACAGTAATTTCATAGTTTGCACATATAGTAATCGATCCATCAGGCTAGAGTACCGGAACAATTGGTATAGCCCAGTCCGAAAACTCTACTGGCTCTATGACACCGCTCTTCTGCATGCGATCAAGTTTCTCTTCTACCTCCGATCGCATCATACGGCAACGATCGACCCTTGATGAATCGCGGTTTTGTGCCAGGTGAAATATAGCTATTAACTTGTCCCCCGGTGAATTTTCATTTCTCAGGCGTCTAAACTACTGATGCATATTGCTGGGACAGTGTTTGTGCCTCCGATTGTAAGGAAAGATGGTGTATCTGCAAAATCGGTAATTAACTGATCCAGTCGCAGCCCAGTAGTTTTGGACTATCTCCGAGTGCGATGTAAATATTTCCTCGGATTGTCGATCCCCCATGGGACACCTCAACCTCCTTCATCCCTAGCAGTTGCACTTCACCACCCGTATATTTACGCAATCACAGTGGCGCCTGACACATTTCGGTGTGGCTCGTTGGAGCCGATCTCTGTGACCAAGTGCTTTCGTTGCACAGCGTTACTGCACTGCCCGAGTCAATTTAGAACTGCACCGGCAACTGGTTACAACAAAGCTGCACGCGAAATGTCGGTTGTGCACCTAAGGTAGTTGTGTCAAATATAAGTTGTTTGTTTACTACCTGGGAACACGGGTTTTTTCCTTACCGACACATACGGGCCAAGTGTCCACGTTTTTGGCATTTGTTGCAAAGTGTCTGTGCATATTTACATTCACTGGGATGACTGTGTCGCAAGCCGCAGCGATAACAGTGGAACGAGCGCGTGGTGTTTTTATCAAATTTGTAGACTTCGGCCGTGACATCTTAAGCACATGAGTTTGAACTGAGCTATAATTTCTGCAGTAGCTGTGAACTACTTTCAGCAGCCTCCATGCCCGTCGCAACATCATAGGCACTTTCCAATGTCAATGCGTTATCAGCCAAAAAGGCAGCGCTGAATGCGAACGTTTTTCACGCCGACCACCAGACGATCCCGGCTCATGTCGTTTCGGTAGTTACCGAACTCATAATATTCTGTCAGCTTCCAAAACTCGGCAACGAAAGAAGCAATTGACTCCCTCTCACACTGGCCCCGCGTATGGAATTTAAAGCGCTGCACAATAACTGATGTTTTTTATTATTGTGATTGGAAACCAGTATGACCAGTTCAGTAAATTGTTTGGTGCATGGCAAATCGGGAGTCCACAAGTGGCGAATTAACTCGTATGTTTTTGAGCCACAGATACTCAGTTTGATATTCACTTTACGGTTGTTACTGACGACTTCTTTAGCGGCGGAACAACACTTCCTTGGCTCGATATAATGGTTCCAAAAACCGGATTCCTCAATGTACTCTTCCAATTTTTCGATGGAGGCCATGGGTTCAATAAGCCGTCGCCAGTAATAAAGTAAGAACATAGAGATGCAAGGGACACAGCTGTACTGTGTACACACGACCAAGTCACTGGTTGACTTGATAACATGGACATTTATTCACACATATGAGTCACGTGCATGACCAGACAGACCGTGGCTCATGATAACCAATCACAACATTTGCAATCCAGACTTCGTATTAACTTCATAGTCGACGTTAAGAAATGTGTAGCTCTTTTCTAGCTTCCACCATTGTACGACTTTGTTTTGTCTGCCTTAACAAATTCTGACTCTCTGATCAACTATACTCCGAGCTTGAGGGCGTAAGTTCTCAGCGGACGTAGCTTTCGTGGTCCATGTTTGTTTTACAAACTCATGTTAATGAATGTTTGATCAGAAGAACGCATATTTCGATTAGTCACAGACTCGTCCTGTTAAGTGTCTTTCTAGAGTTGGAGTTTATGGTGGGTGAGTGATTGCTTAACTGGTGAAAATCTGCCAGACACTGATCGAGATTATGCACAACACGATAGAATTGACAAGTAATCGTTGTGAATTCGTGAAGCTCGGCTATGCTTAACCACAACAACAACAACAACATCGATAGCAACAACAACGATCACAAAGTAGTACCTACGAAACAGTTGCAATAAGACACCGAGCTAAATGAACAACCCACAGCCATCATTCACACCTCCATTTATGAGCATCAATAATATTTTAGCCTAACAAAATGTACATGAACTGTACAGTGAGACTGGGAACACTAACAATATTGCGTTAAATTGTTCATATATTTCGCACAATGCAAAATAATCCAAGCGCCTATTTACTTAGTTACGTATTTAAATTACTTTATTTAAACTTCAAATAAAGCTTCGCCTTGTCTAATTTGTGCTATCAAAGCTCTGCGAGCTGAAGTTTACTGAATGGGATGCGAAGCGTGCAATTGACTTTAAATTACACTCTTCTTCACTCACTCGTTAATCCATGTATTTTGTCGGATTAGGAGAAATTATAGTAACTGATTTAAGTATTCCGTTAGCCCAATACAGCTCAACTTTTAATACCTAAATGTTTACAAGCGTGCACTGAGGATATGTCACTCAGTTGAGGATAAGTATTGCTGATATTCAATTCACACGGTATCAGGTTAAGCTTGAACAACCTTTGCTTATCACAGTTAAACAATTTACTCAATTTGGTGTGATCCCCCAGCTATCCGGATGCAGTTTATTCAACCTAATGGTCTGTTAGATTTCGAGGAATGTGGATTTTGGAATTCAGACTCTCATCACGTTTCCGACGTCACGTGGAAGGGTAGGTTGCACCAGTCATTTGACCTGATGTCAGACCAACCAAGAACAACACGTGTTCGTGTGCGTTTGTTTGCGTGTGTGGCACGGTGAACCGGTTGGTATACAAACAACTAGATTTGCTTTGGTATTTAAACGAATGTATAAGGCTTCTCCTTTTCAATACACAATAACTAATTATTTCGCAGGCTTTGCTGATAAATCATGATCGAAACGTATAATTCGGCGAAACACACTGCAACTTAACGGGAACTATACTGTACTCGGTTACCATGCTTCCATCGTCAGTGTGTCCTCGATGCGGAAGGCAGTGCGTTGCCCTTAGAACCTATGGTGTTGTCGCAATTATCGTAGTTATAATCACCTACGAATTTTGGACCTGGACAACCAGCCATGAGAGCATTAGTATGAGGATCGACCCCTTCATTGTTCACGCATACTTGAACAGCTATCAAGCACATTTACTCCCAGATTTGACAAAACTCAGATGGCCCATCATACGATTGGCAAATAAACCGGCAGGTATGCGGTTCACAAACGGTACAGTTTTTAGACCGCCACAATCGTTTGAACCCGTTATGAGTCGGGGTCAGAAGGCGCTATTCAAACGGCTTCTGGGAGTATTTGCGGATTTGATGTTTGCCAATGGATTTGGAGATCGCTTTTTCCTTAATGCAGGGACGTTGTTGGGTTCATTCCGACACCATGATATAATCCCCTGGGACGAGGACATCGATGTACTGGTTGACGTGAGGGTGCGTTCGAGATTGCACCAATTGTTCAGGAATATGAATTCCGGATATTTGTATTCCGGAATGTATAATAGAGATAAAGTTTTCACAAAACAAATTGATCCGAACCGGGAAACAGAAGACTTGGAATTCAGTCGAAATACCTCCTCCCACCCATGGCTTTGGCCATTTCTCGATATCGGATATTACGTCGTTAATGAAACGCATGTGTATGAGTTAGCATTGTATGGGGGGAAACAACAGATCTGGCCACGCGATATGGTGTTCCCTCTGCTCTTTCGACCGCTCGGTAAGCAATGGTTTCCTACCCCGTTTCGTGCACTACTATTTATGAACTCTACGGTTCCATTTACGCCGATGTGTCATTTGAACGGATATGATCACATATTGGAGGTACTAGCCACCGATGCTCGGTGCCTATGTTTTGACCTGCGTAAACGCTATGCGTTTGTCCGTCGACGTCGGTCCAATCATCATCTAGTCTCCACCGATGAACACTACTGGAAGTCCATTACATTTAACTTGCTAGTCACAGAGGAGCAGCTGATAGCATACGAATCAGCGGAGGCCACAGAGGCGACTGTTATTCATTCTATACTTGTACCTGCCCAAACTGAAGAAGCTGATTTGGATGCGTACGATTATTCCAAAAATATGGCATAGATGGTTAGCTTGAACTGAAATAGTATTATCTATAAGCACTTTTGCATTAACTTTTACTTGCTATCTATCGAGCATTCCTGTCTACTCGTGTAAGTAACCCATTTGTCCCTATGGGAAATCACTGACGGCATTGATGCACTTGACAGTTTTAATACCTGACACATAGATATCTACTAAACTACTGCTGTCATATTGACTTGGACGTTTGCACCTATCTGCTCCCACAATTACGTATCTTCACGCACTGTGATATTTCTGGAATTCCGTATGTTCTAACTTTGTGTGTAAAATTTCCTGGCTGTACGTAACCTAGTTGTTATCCGAATTAGGTTAAAGTAGGAGGATTGAGAATGTGGGATATTAACCCCAATACCCACAATAATTTAGCATGAAATTGCGCATTTTCTAAATAGTGAAGAGCCACCTTGATTTACAAAGTGGTTGCATGGCGTTTCATTTGTGCTTTTACACTGATCAGCTGCTCTCTAAAGCCGAATATTGTCGGTTGTTAAGTTGAGCTTGGAGAATCCGCTGGTGATTGGGTTGCTAAAAGCAACCTCTATTGAGACCTCGGTTCACCAAGCCCAACTTTGCATTCGTTTCCGCTGGACCAAGTGTTGCTTGTGGATCTCTGTGGCATAGTGCTTATGGCGTCAACCATGAGGCACTGGACTCTGAGTTCCAGCCCAACTCAGGCTATCTCCAAATGATGAGTCCCAACCAGGACGAAACTGCGGTCTTGGGTTGCCAGTGTTGGGACGAGAAACACTATAATGTTTCCATTGTCGGTTGTTTCTATATCATAATCAGCTGTTTTGACAAGTTTTCACAAAGCAACTGGTAACTGAAATGGGCTAAAGCACTTTCACTAATATCAAATAAATGAAATAAATAAACAAATTTGTATATTTACCGACAGACGGTACACGGCCTCATAAGTGGGAGCGATCATTTGTTTAGTAAAATACGTTTCAAAATATTAAAGAAAAGTTTGTTAGTGGATTTTCGGATCGTGATTTTTTCCTTGTTTTAAATATTTGATTGCCTCGGTCACATCAACGTCATTAGCATCAACAACCGCACATAAGCAACTTGAACTGATGTTTCACTCATGTACAAGCATGTGAACAGGGAACCATAAAAGGGATCGAAGGTGATCGATCTTAAAACCTCAGTGCCGTAAACAAACATTTGGGGTCATGGCGCCTACACGGATCCAGACAGGAGGAACATTAAGGTTCTGAACTAAAGTTTTGGCTTAAAATCCTGCCCGAAGACAGTGCAAAATGCCAATGATTTGGTTTTACAGAGATGGATATCATCGCATCAAAAAATCCCCAAGCTGTATGAGTAGGAGGCGGAGTTTGTCTGACATCTGACCATTGAGCAGCCTGGTTGGAGTAGCACTTAAGTGGCCTCAAGTTCCCACCCAGTAGAGCTCAGTGGGTTGACGAGGTACGCTAACCGTCACATAACGTCAAGGTCCAGTCTCGTCGTGACGGACCTCGGTCACAACAAAAGTGCGTTTAACCAGTGCAGTTCAGCACAGCGCAGCACGGAATAATCTTGTTCTAACTGCACAAAATAGGTCTCAATCGCCTCCCCTTTTTGTTTACTACTAACCCCAGTCGATTATACACTGCACCCAATTTTCCGTTACTCGATAGAGAATGAACTGTAGAACACTCATTCTGCGTAATGTTTTTTATGCCAACAGTCACAGTTCCATGTGCATCTCCATCGTTAAGGCTCAGTTAAATCACCTTGTACCTGATTAATACACACAAAAGACTCTTCATGATTACCAGTCTCTCGGCTTAAAACATATGCAGTTCCTTAGGTTTCTTGAATTATTACGTTTTCCACTTTGACATACTCTACCTGATTATTTCGTCTCACTGGTTTGATGCAATGGTTTGATGCGAATCCGTAGCCGAAGTTTCCATTACTGCCATATGAGTTATTGTTTTAATTAGACTGCAGTATCGCCTCATCAAACCTCATTTGGCTATTTTCTCATATACAATGTCTCCAGCTATTGTGGCTAAATTTAGTTCAGGTATGCTGCTGAAGTTGGAGTGAATCGGTTATAAGTATGCTGTGATGTTGTATCGAGAACCACTACAAAGTGTTTAGAGGGCGGGTGACGCGTTAAGTGAATCAAAATGGAACAACCGATTTCTGGCACGACCAGTCAACAATCAAAGCTAACTAGTGTGAATTGATTTGTAGTTCCATTGATGATCATTTGTATTAAAAGGATTTCTGAACTTTAATAATCGTGCATCCATTGAGAATGAGGCGTTTATATGCAAGCAAATGATATTTAAAGGAACCTCAGTTAAGATTAGTCAACTTTGGCTTGTACTAAAAGCGAACATTAACATGTCAAATAAATCACTTAAGTTTGAGTCATCGCTAATTATACCAGCACCGGATTGCGGTAATAGAGTGATAGGAAAAGAAAGCTAAGGGGTGTACTAAATGATTAAAGACTTATTATTAGGGAACTGGGGAAAATATAATTATAACAGTGTAGTAGGGGTACTGTATGAAACACCTTGGTATGCATCGATCAATCAGCCATACCACGCCTGAAAAAACATCATAGGCCCACCTAATCCTTTCGGGAATCGACAGCAGTGCGTATTCCGTTCAACTCCTCTGAGGATGGAGCCTTGTATAAATGTATACAGTTCTGCCTGTATACTTTGCGTCCATTTCGAAATAATCGTTTTAAGGTGAATATAGGAAAGGGTTGTTAAGCAAGTCAAATTCAAATATCATGAGTGAAAAAGAATGTGCATACCTAGTGTTGCCTCTGTGTTACTGATTCTGTGCTAATAATTCAAGTACCCGTTAAAACTTTGTTTGAAGTACAATGGAACAATGGAGCAATGGTTTATTACGGGTAAAAAAAGCATCGCTTAACAAGTCCCGTAGGATGGAAATTATTGCGAAAATCAATTGCATAATAAAGTGAAAAGCGTTGTGGTGGACTCACCATGGACTTATGTGAAATAGCAGAGATGTTCGCGTATTAAACATATAAATCCATAAATCCATTGGTTAGGCGTTTGGCAAGACACCGTTTGATTGCGTTTCGTAGCCCCTGGCTAACAAGTCATAAAATGAAATGTAAGTGAGACAATGCATCGTCATCAAGTTGTTTAAATATAGCCAGATTGGTAGCAGAGACGACATGATTAGGGAGGGCGTTGTAAGGCTGGCACACGCGGAGAGAAAAGAAATTTCTACGGCATTCAAGCCTGCTATAATGAATTATCAGTTTCAGAGGGTGACCTCTTAGTTTAGTGTTGTGGTTCAATTCCAGCAGCGGAAGGCAAATGTGGTTTGGGTTCCTCAGAATCTTATAAACCATTATGACATCCCCCCACAAAAGCCGATATCGACTGTTGTAGATTCGTAAAGATTTCAGTCTAAGCTGATAGGGCAGATGAAAGAGGCCCCTGACTTTCTTAGTTGCCCTTCGTCGAGGAGTCTCGAGAGCAACGAGATCCTGTTTCTGCCACGGCTGCCACGCCTGAATAGCATATTCCACGTTAGGTCGCACGTAGACCTTAAGCATTTGGGGAAATATTGAGGGTTCAAACCGACCGAAGGCACTGCGAATAAGACCGAAGTTTTGCTTGCCGGTCCTCGTCGCCTTCTCTGCTTGTTTTGAACACCCAAGATCTTCCTGTACCAATACACCCAGGTCACGCTCCTGAGAAACCTTCGCCAAGGTGTGGTCTCCAATCTTGTAAGCGCTCACCGGCTGGTGACGCAGATGCATCACTTTGCACATAGATATGTTCAATTGAAGCTTGTTCCTCTTTGACCATTCGTAAATGCAATCTAAGTCATGTTGGAGCAGATCCTGATCTGGCTTGTTACTAATCGCCCGCCATATCTTGACGTCATCGGCGAAAAGCAGGAAATTTGAGGAGATGACTCTTGCCAGGTCTTTGATAAACACCAGGAATAAACGTGGTCCTAGTATTGAGCCTTGTGGGACATCACACTCCACCTCAATTGGGTTAGAAAGTGATCCCCTAACACGTACTCGACGCTCCCGATGGTAAAGGAAGCTGCAAATGCAAGCAAGTACAGCATCTCCGATTCCGTAACTCAGTTGTCTTTGAAGTAGGATGCGGGGATCAAGGCGGTGGAAAGCTTTGGAGAAGTCCAGATAGATGACGTCGAATCCGACCCCATCATTGGCCACTTCCGTCCAAATACATCATGCAATCAGTAGGTTAATGGTGCATGACCGTTGTTGACGGAAGCCATGCGGTTCCGGTACCAAGATGTTGCATTTTTCCAGGTAGTCCATTAAAGCCTCAGCGACGACTACTTCCATCACCTTCGCAAGCACAGGGCGGAGAGTCACTGGACGGTAGTTTGCAGGATATGAACGGCTACCGCCTTTAAAAGTAGGGTTGATAATGCCACACTTCCACATAGTGGGGACTGTGACCAAACCATGCGCCGTACATCAAGTCATCGGGACAAGCGTTTGTAGTACTTATGCAAGCCATGTGCGATGATCAAATTCAGATTATCAGTATAGAAAGATTGATACCGTAGCAGTAGATAAGACGTTCACGAAAATGAGCCTGGCTTGAATATAATGGAGTAAACTTAAAACCGAGTGGGAGATCAAAAATTTAAACTACTGTAGGGCTTGTATTGAGACAAACATTCGCCCTTGACTCAAGAGCTTCATCAGGTAGTGTGAACTAGTACAGTTTTGGCTTGGCAGTTGATAGTATTTGGAATGATAATATCGTGAAATAACTCTGGAAGTGAAAAACGTGATTCAGTTTCAAAGCTTCAAGAGCTAAATCTGGTGAAACAATTAGAAATGGAACCATCCCAATTGCATCGTTTCGTGGGTCATTCACATGTGGGGCAGTGTTGATGTTGCTCTTGGCTTTAGTGATGAGAGTTCGATGTTTTCGCTCCATCCTGAGTCCGTCTGCCAAAGCTAGTTAATCTGGCCGGGTTAAGACAGCCCGCCACGCGTTCGATAATTCCACACCCTCTATTCTGTGTACGCACCTAGTGATCGTTTCGACTACTAGCGCCACAGCAATTAATCTTTGGATTGTCCTTCTTGCTCCCCATCTAATAATTTCTACATTATTCCAGTTTATTGAGTGTTCCGAGTGTAACGCTCGTACCGCTATAGCCGCCTCTTTCGCAAGGCTTGTATTTCCATTCATTTTTGATGAACGCGAAACATAACATTTGTTTTGTCATCCTACTGCGTTGTTCTCT